TATAAATAATAGTTATATAAAGTACCCTGCAGGATTATTTTTTTTTGAGAAAAGGCAAAATACAAGTGAAGTTTTATGAAAAGATTTTTTTTCTACAGGCAGATCAAGCTCAGTCATGAACAAGATTAATCCCGAAACTAATCTAATCCAAAACTTAGCTTAGAAAACAGCCGAAAAACTATATTTGTCAGTGTATAAATGCCTTTTGTTGATACAGATGGGAAATCCCAAACTGGAACAATTTTTGCTTACTCTCTCTGAGGCCCTCATTTCAGATAGATGGGCTGAGACTTTTAGTTCCAGTCTTGTGACCAGCTGGTTGTGTCAGCACTTATTTCATGCTTCAGGCACATCTTCCACTAAATATGGCTTTTCTCTAAGTTTCTTTAAAAACCCTGAGGACACCCAGCAGGTCAGCTCTCAGGGTTAATAAAGTGAAATGGCTGTGTGTCATATTTTGAATGCCACTCCATTGTAAAGCCTTGAACTAGCCCCCATGGTCAGTATCTGCCATAGAATGAAAGGCAAAATAGCACAGCTGGTCAAAAAGGCATGTATGAATCCTCAGTCCACCATCACTGCTCTGCTATCTCTCATTGAATCTTTTCTCATTCTCTTTGTGGGCGTGTTTTTCTTGGTGTCTCTTGTATGCTTGTATAATAATGTTGCTTTTTTATGCTCTGTGCTGAGATCATATCAGTCTAAACGGGACACTTTATGAGGTCAGCATGATGCTATCTAGCATGACTCAGAAAAACCACTTCACTTTTTTGACCTTTTACCACAGTAACAGGTCAGCAAGGTTGAACTGTAACTCTGCTGCATGTTCTGCAGTTCAGTTTATGAATTATGAAGTTCTGGTTCCATTGACTTACATAAAAACATTAAAAGTAAAGCATGTTTTTCCTTCTCCTGTAAAGTTACCATTTTGGAGATACAAGGTTTTCTTCCGACGACAGCATATATATATATATATATTAATTACATTACTTAAAAAGGTCTGTATAAAACACAAACATAGCTGCTAAACGTGCATATACATTACACTGACTACACCCTTGAAGGGCCCATATCCTACACCTCAGATCCACTTATGATGTTTGTGTGAGCTTATGCACCAAAAACATCATAATTTTTTTATGACCATTTTCCAACTTACAATTAAACAGGCTGTGTTTGATACCGTTCCTTTAAGATTGATAATGAGCATGTAAATGAGCTCTGTTCTTATTGGCTGCCCACACACACACCCTTACCCACCCAAATCCCAGTTATGCAATACTGGCTCAAGGGGTCAGGGCAGTATATTTATTGCTCAGGCAGAAGTGGGTGTAGATTTTTCAGTTGACCACATCCAGACAATGTGCCCAGTTAGCCTAGTAGCCTCGCATAGTACTGCTGGTATGCAGCTCTAATCTCAGTCATTTCAGCGCAGGAGGAATGTGTCGGAAAGGTAAACATTTAGAGTGCAAACGTTCCAACACGGTTCTTCCAGCAAAGGATTGTAGTTGTAGGGTTCCAGACTGGGGCGCAGTGGTGACAGGTTACTCACTCAGAAACCCACAGCATGCTTACATACACCGAAAGAGTAGATATGCAAATTGGATGAGATATTTCTGCACTTCTAGTTTGAGATGTTTCAGCAGGTGCAACATTAACTTTTGCTTGAAGGGGAACTCCACTGATTTTCTGCATAGATAAAAATTTCTGAAGAGTTGAATTGCTAAGACGTAAACAAAGCTATTCAGAGTGGTTTTGTGTAAAATTCTCTATTTTAGAGAAACTTACAAACTCAGAAATGTTCACATTGGTGGACGTCTAAAGCGTTTAATGCCCCTAAAGCTTCCTCACAACTTGCCACCCAAAAAGACTTTTTTTTTGCAGTTTTTGTTTGCATTGCAAACATTCTGGAGGTTTTAGATAGCAAATAGATGGCTGTATTTGAGGTGGCAAGTTTCTCTACAAATGTACCATTTCACATTAAGCCACCCTGAATGACTTTTTTTTAATGTCTTTTTGTGATGAATGTCAAGATCACTACTCAAAAAAACACTAAATTTAGCCATAACATTGGCAATAGTAATATTAGGATAATATTAATATTTAACACTAATATTGGTAATGATAACAACAAAACAATTATTATTATAAAGCCTCAATACATTTAACAGCTCACTTGGAATTATGCATGCATTTTAAAAAATGGGTGGAATTCCCCTTTATCACACACACTACCTTTTTTGAGCATAGTTGTTTAACCAAGAACAAGTGTCCCAGTGTGGACTCCATTCTGTACGGCGGTGACCCATAAGTGAAAGAGTGAAATGAGAGCATGTAGAGAATGACTGACCGAGTCTGTTAACATGTAACTGATAAGTCTGCAGTTTTTCATAGCCATAAAACACCCAAAGCTACTGATCATACAAAGAGTGACACACATTTGTACTTCAGTCTAACTGAAAAATGCAAAGCAGCGAAAAATTGCTCAGCTGATAAGTAACTCTGAGCAAAAAGTGCATAAGTGCGTTCTCGTAACTATTTTAAGCGAAGTACATTTTATACATATATTTCACAATAAAACCTGAAATCTGAATTCTAAAATATGCGGAAGTGTGCTTAAAACAATAGGGCACAACTAGGGCACAAACAATTGTTTGCAAATATTTCTAAACCCAGAGAAGTACCTTGTGGTGAATAACGTGAAATGTAAGATGGTTGATTACAAAACTGAAATGTGATGCTAAGCAAATACCTTTTCTTAAAAAAAAGCCCTTCTTATGACAGGTTATCAAGTGGCCTTAACATTAAGCTTCTAACAGAGTGATAAGGCACTGCTAGAGGCACTTTGTGAGAAGAGTCGTTAAATGAACGCTTCTCATGTTAGGTAAGCAGCACATGAACACTAGTCAAGGTGAGGAATTGTTATACGGGCATACTGAGGGAACACAAGGGCTTCGTATCACTGTTTATACAGGAACAGCCATCTGCAGTAACACTCGAAACACATTGGTGCAAATGTGGTTTTGTGGCACTAAGGAACAAAATATCAGGTTTCATAGCTTGTTGTGCAAAAAAACAAGAAACCAAAATGTAAAAAATCATCACGGACTGAAATATTTCAGACATTCCTGACATCAATGGAGGAGTAAGCAGTCATGTGTTAACCTTGGTCACCCACGTTAAGTCTGTTTATGGCCACTCATGTCACAACAATGTAAACAGACTACAAGGCTATGTCCTGAACAAAGTGGAACAGCAGTGGCTACTCTCGGGCAGATGTCCAGTGTTTACATGTAAAACATGCTGGGCTTCACCGAATCTCTGGGTGAGAAGTAGTTTGGGAGCTTAAATGGGTTCTATTTTGGTTCAGGATGTTTGCAGGCACTTCAAGGAACAATCTCACTTGACCCACACATCTGAGAAGAAAACAAAGTCTACACAGTTCAGAAATGAAGGGCAAAATGTGAGTCACAAGCAGGCCTAGATGGATAGGTGTATCATAATTAGGAGGAAAGAATCCCTCAAATCCACATGTCTATGGAAAACCCACTCGTGTGTGTGAATCCATATCCAGCAGGCACTTGCATTGATGACATTTTAACACAGCGGGGCAGTACTCCAACAGAAAATGCCGATATTGCTGCAGAGCATTAGGATATCTGCAGTTGGAGAAGCAATGAGGATGAAACGGCTCAGATGTGTACAGTGCAATTGATCTAAGCCAGGAAACCCACTCAGGAAGCTGTTTTCCATGCACTGGGGCTGCTAAGCATCATGACGCAAGAGGCCAGTGTGAGAACACGCACACACACACTCCCCAGCGGAGGGAATTGTGAGCAGGATATCCACACACATTCTTATGGGTACAGTATCAAAACTGGCACTACATAAAACCACATTTAAATGCTTCGAATTATTCAGGCTGATTAAATGAAAGAGATTAGAAATAAAGGTCTCAAGTGCTTAAAGCAATAGTTGGGCAAAACCTAATTTCTATAATTTTCCACTTACCCCAGATGTTTGGTGCCCATATTTTGCTTCCTTAATTTAGCATTGGAGCTAACATTGCTAACAAACACTAGAAGTCAATGGTCACCCAAGTCTTTTGAGTACAAAAATTCCCCAAAACTCTTCTCAACTTGATTAGATCACACCCAGCTTTTCATTATGGTAAAGCAGACTTGTAGATGTGGTTTAGGACACAGTATGACTAACTGTGGGCTACAAAAATGAGCAGTAAATTGCTGTGGCGTCCACTGTAGATAACGGGTGTTGTGCTGAATCCAGCCATATGGATGCTACATTCACGATTTCGGTAGTTTCTGTTTATAAAGCATCTTTATATTTATATAGTTTTTATGTTTATAAAAAGCTTCAGTTCAAAAATGCAAGATTAACAGTTATTTATATTAAGGGGACAGTCATGGGCTGGGGGTTTATATGGGGGCAGTCATGGGCTGGAGGTTAGGGAACCAGCCTTGTCACTGGAAGGTCGCCAATTCGATTCCCTGAGCCGACAGTATGTGACTGAAGTGCCCTTGAGCAAGGCACCTAACCCCCAACTGCTCCCTGGTGCCGTGGATAGGGCTACTCACCGCTCCGGGCAAGTGTGCTCACTGCCCCCTAGTGTGTGTGTTCACTAGTGTGTATGTGGTGTTTCACTGCACATTGTGGGGCCTAATAAGGGTCACTTAATAATAATAATAAAAATAATAATAATAATAATAATAAGAAGAAGAAGAAGAAGAAGAAGAAGAAGAAGAAGAAGAAGAAGAAGATGAAGAAGAAGAAGAAGAAGAAACAGATCCCAAGCGGATTGAGAGAAGTTTCGGGGACGTATTTACAGAAACCATTTGGGTGTCTATTGGCTTATAGCATTAGCTACATTAGCTCATAGCTCCAGCGCTATTCAATAAGACACCCTTTGATGTCACAGTATTTCAATACAAGATGAGATATGGCAATTGAGACATCAAAATAGAACATTAAAAGAATCATAGATATTTTAAAAAATCATTTATTTTCAACTTTCACCAGAATATCAATCAATTTATTAACACCATTTGACATTCGTAAGGTTCTTTTACCAATTTTACACAGATTTCCATATTTAAAACAGGGGTCTAAACTAAAGATACAAATATTTGCTTAGTTCAATACAAACAAATAGCAATTTAAAACATATTTTACAAAAAATAAGGCATTGGACAGCAATGGAAGACCTTAACATGAAACCATTACATGGCAAAAAGGTGTGATGCAGTGGATGGAGTGCTACATCAGTTAAAAGCAAAAAACAAAAACAACCGAGCAGACGTGCATTTTATGGCTCAGATTGTGTGCCGTCCACAGACGGAGTTTCGGGGCCTTTGCAATTGAATGAACACATTCCCTTGCACAGGACAGCATAATCACTCTCTGCACAGTAATCTACTATTTAAAGCTAAGGCTTTTAATGGTGGGGCTTCAGATCTAAGTTGCCTTCTCAGCCCTCACACTGTGTGAAATTGGGAACCAGTAAGAATTAGGTGGGGAAAAAAAAGAGACGAAGCCCATAAAAATGGGTAAAACCAAAATGCAGGCAGTGTTTTTTCCTTCATTACGTTAAGATAAAAACACCAATATGGTGCATAAAAGTAGAAGAGAACCAGGAGCAATTCTCAATGGAATCACCTCTCCCTATTGCTCGTATCCTATGAACCACGGATCCATTACAACTGATTCTGCAGTTCATATAATTCAGGTCGATGTGGTTTTCACTTAATCTAATAAGTTACAATTACTATATTATTAGAAGACGAAGTAAAACCCCTACATAACATGGCAGCTGTCAAGAAGTCTTGAAACCTTTAAAAAAAAACTAATCCATAGCGTCAGTCAATTTATGAAATTGTGGACTTCATTTTAATCATGTTTCTTTTGAAATATCCACAGCTTCTTTGCTTGCCATAATACTGACTGAAATGCACTTCACAGATTCCATTTTGTTCAAACTAACACCAAAAATGTTCCTGGTGCTTCACAGACAACAAAGAGAATCTACTTTAATCAAGTCAGGCGCAAGAAAACTTCAAGGTTTGTGCAAAATGTCCAGAAGTGGGAAAAAAAGGGAAAGCAAATACAGGAAACTCTCACTGAGGGTTTGAGTTAGGTCCATGTTCTGGTGTGGATGCTTCAGGTCTCAGTGTTGTCCTCCTTGGAGTACTCCTCTACCAGCTGCTCATAGGAGTGGCAATGCTCTGATCTGTCTGTAAACACGGAGCCTTCTGATTCGGAGCACTGCTCCTCCTTGGAATCAGTCTCCGATTCGACGTTTTCGTCAGAGGTCGAGAGTTTGGGCTTGGTGTCTTCATCCTCCTCCTCCTCCTCTAGGTTGTTGTTCAGGAGATTCTCCTCATCGATGAAGGTGATGTTAGCGTTCTGGAAGATGAGCGGATGGTACTCTTTGGACTCCCATTTGTGACGGCCAGCCCCGTGGCCTCCGGGCCCGAGATTTCCGTGGTCTTCACCTGCTTCTTTGTCCAGCTGATTCTCATACATCCTCTCCAGGTCTGCCTCCACATCTCCATCACCCTGCATCTCGTTCAGCAGAGGTCCACCCTCCTGCCCAAGCAGGTAACTCTTGGACTTGGAGAAGGCCACAGTAACCCGATCGCTGAAGCTGTAGCGGCGCTTCTGCCGAGGCGATCGGTCCAGGTTAAGAATAGCATTTCCGTTGATGGCAACAGCATCACTGCAGCTTTTGGAGCGGCTGAATTCCTTAGACTTGTTTCCAGCAACGCCATTGGCACACTGACCTCCTCCTTCCTTCTTGGCGCCGATCTGTTTGATGAGGTCATTGTAGCCCTCCTGTCTCTTGCTCAGGAAGCTGAAGATGTTGACGTCGTTGGCGGTAGACGGCAGGTGCAGGGCTTTGTGGTTTTCTTTGTAGTGCTGCAGCTCGTCCAGTGAGAGCTTGCGACGCTTCCTCCGCTTCTTCAGAGCCTTATGGGCCTCGATGACCATCCGCACTTTCCAGTTGAAGAAGAGGGACAGCCAGGCCAAGCCCAGGTAGATCCACACCTCCACAAAGTAGCGATACAGAGTAGGGTAGTTCGCATTGGGGTCAACACCTAAAAAGAAGCACATGCAAAAGTAATTAACACGAAAAATTGAACATCTACAGCATTACTAGAATCGAGAGATAACGTTTACAGCTTGTACTTCTTTGAAACTTTTGACTTGGGGGAAGTAAGATACAGAACCTTTATAGTCACTCCAGATTACTAGAAAGGCAAGAAGTACCACATCAGAGAAGTGATTCTCAGAAGGTGACTCAAGCTGATTTCTTTGCAACTACCACACAGACATAAACGGAGGGAAAGATCGTTCTACCACTGCGGTGGTACATGCGGTAAGAATGTTTAGTAAGTGTAAAATGTAGTCTTACCACATCAGTGAAGTTGTAACACCACCGACAAAGTGACTAAAATCTGAGCTTGTCTAAAATCCACAGCCACTTCAAGATCAAAGCCACATTGTATGCAGGAAACCGCAAATATGGCATTCATGTTATTTTATTTCAATTTTAAAATGGCAATGTTTCACGAGTTACACCACTGCCACAATCTTTTTGCGACATGTCAGTATTTTACCCAAATTTATGAGAAGAAATATAGAGATTTCATTAGCTGTAGACTTAGAGTTGGCATTTCTTTGAGATATCCATACAATAAGTAATTCAAAAAGAACTTGCTAGTTAGTTTTTAAATGACATTGTATGTTTACTGTAACACCGCTGACAAAAAAATCTTGGTAGAAGATTTATTGAAATAAAATCCTATTTAAATATTTATTGACTTTTACATTAAAAACTTACTTTTAATCTGTTTTTACCATTTAAACTGAAAAGGAAACATCAAAATTGTTGTTTCTCATACATATCAACACTTTAGCATCTGTGAAGTCACTACTGTCCCATGCACAGTTACCTTTTTTTTTGTTGGTAATTTAGGAACAAAAAATCCACACATTTGAGGTTTATTCTTATTTTGAGCTCATTTTCATGTCCACTGCAGTGGGAGAGTGACTCTGAAATAAGAGCAGTTCTCATGAACTAAAACATTTCAACAGTTAATGTAGAAATTAACAAACACAGAATTACCTGCTACAAGATCACCAAATCCAATTGTTGTCAAAGTGACGAAGGAAAAGTACAGGCCCTCTATGTAGGTCCAACCCTCCTGAGACATGAACACGAACGGAGGAATGACCAAATGAACCAGGACGCCCCACAACAGGAAGATGGCTGTGCAGGTGAACTGTGCTTTTCGCTGTGAGGGAAAAAAAAGAGATTAAGAGATCTTTTAAAAATAGTGAGGTTTGAAACTGAAGGAGAATTGAAGGATTGTTTTGGAATTTCTGCATAAGTCAATCACTAAGATATTAAACAAAGTCATTGAGAGTGTTGTTTTCCCCCGATTTTCTTCCTAATTTAGTCATATCCAATTCCACCCACTAGTTAGGACTCCCCCAATCACACCAAACCACCAGTGCTAGGAGGGCAAAGGCTAGCACAGGCTTCCTCTAAGATCTGTGAAGCCGCGCCTTTTCAAACTGCCGTTACGTCACGTAAAATCGTTGGACGGCCATCCTACCCACCCAGAGGGCGAGGCCAACTGTGCTTTCTTGGACTCCTGGCCACAGATGGTTGTAGCAGGGATCGAACTTGTGATCTCCTGGTGACAGACCCAACGCTTAGATGCCTCATTCAGAGTGGTTTTCGATGTATAATTGTTCATTTTAGAGAAAATTAATTGCATTTGGAACCAAATTGGATTTCTTTACAGTGTTGGTGTCAGGAACCAGGAGTTTTGATATTTACAATGTAAATTATTTACTATCCAAAACCACCAGTGAACCTACAATTGTTTTTATTTATAATGTCATGTGTTAGATGCCATTAATGGATGAAAAAAAAAATGTTTTAAGCTGCCTGGAAACAATCTCAGACATATCCATTTCATGTAAAAACATTTTGTGAGGGAGCTCACTCTAATTTGACTTTGTTTACATCTTCACCATTAAATTATGTGAAAACTTCACTGGAATCACTGGAATTCCCCTTTGAATCAGAGCTTGAGATTTTGGACCAGTGATCAAAAAGATAAGGAGTGTAGGAGCTGGACGTTGCTTACCAGCGTGACCCCTCTCTTGGTAAGATACTGTCCAAGGTGTTTTGCTCTTCCTCCGAAAAACTTCCCAAGTTCACTGATCCAAGTCAGACAAAGTGGGACACCAAAGAGTCCATAAAAAATGCAAAAAACCCTCCCTGATGATGTTTTGGGGGCAATGTTGCCATAACCTAACAAAGGAAAACAGAAAATGGTTAATTCCTTTAACTGCTTACCAAAAACACCACAATTCCACTCACAATCTGATTCAAAAACTGGATTCTAACTGAGAAATCCAGAGTTTTCTGTTGTGGAAAAGAGCCTCTAATGGGTCTGCTCACACTGGCTTATCAAACAATAAACTCTCTTCTTATCTCCATGTTTGTCTTTCAAGTAACTTCATCTTATCAGAGAACAGAACTGGACGTTTAGACTCTGGAGATGCTGACAAAATGGCAAGCAATCCACCTGAGAGTGTGATCAGCCCACAAGAACTTTTAAACAGGTCATTACCAAATGATTACTAAACAGATCCTGTAGATCCGCAGGGGATAAATAAAGCTAACTACTTCCTGTCCTCTTTGATTAGTTAAGATAATCAGTCCTGCCTCTGTTTATCCCTAAACAATAAACAGATTTGGCTGATTCTCACTGTGAAAAGGAGGGACTGGACTATTACCGATAGTTGTAATGACCGTAGCAGCGAAGATGACGGCGTTCGGCCAGTTCCAGTTGTTGAAGGTTCTATTTCCTGTGATGGTGACACCTTGTCCTGCAGCTTCAGACACCACCTGGGGGGAAAAAAGATGAAATTAACCGGTTAAAACTCTGAAGTGGGCCTTTACTTCAGTTCCTCACTCTTATAAGTAGACATGGAATAATTCATACTATTTACTGAATAACAGGCCTTGGCAATAATAACTGAATTACAAGCCAGCAGTTTAAGGGGTTAAGAATGCAGATTTTGGAGCGACTGGGATTTGTTGTGTCTCAGACCAGACCTCGTACCACATCCTTCCTGTGAGCCACTGACATTATCAGCAGGTCCCTGATGAGGGCAGCGCTGCCAAACAGGCCACTCAGGGACATGAGTGGACCATCCCTCACCTGAAGGGCTTTTGGCATGGTCTCGGAGCCCTCAGCACGCAAAGCTATCACAGAGATGCGGCAGAGTGGACCTTAATTTGTCCCTAAACAGCTATTCTGCAGTTGTGTAATCACAGATGAAAGGAGCAGCTGGGGTCTGCTTGTGGCAGTGATTCAAAAGCTCCCTCCAGCTTAAGAAAATAAACACATCACTTAGAACAGCTGACCAAGTTGGTCATTTGATTCTCACAAATGAAAAGCTATAGAGGCTTTGCCATGCTTACATCAACTTAATTCGAATACAGAGCTGTCACCACAGAGCTGTGTATAATAACAGCCAATTTACACCATGTAATAACAGAGAAGAAGAACTTTCAGTGGGTTCCTGCAGATCTGATGCCTCTCGATCCTTTCATACCACTATACAGGGCCTGGTGAGTGGTAGGATTCCTCAGGACACTCTTTAAAATAAAAGGTGCCAGAAGCTGTTCTTTTGGACAGTATTATATTACTATATACTATATTATTATAATACTATAGAAGAGCCACTTCTGGATCTTAAAAGAAACCATTCCAGGGATGGTTCTTTAACCTCTTTTTAAAAGGTGATGAACCAATCAGAGGCAACCTGCTTTCATTTAAAGCCAAGTCAAAATGGCCATTAAGTACAAGCTATTCATTTTTCAGTGTCAGGAAAAAGCAGAAAAAAAAGCAGACTTGCTTTCAGTTTTCAAAGAAATCTCCAAGGTTCTGTCTAAGAAGTCAGTTGCATTTTCTGTTTCTCATTATTTTGTGGTCATTTTCAACCAACAAGCTGTAGCTTTTGTGTTGGCTGTGTTACACTGAGCTCAAAAGTAATGACAAATAATGTATTATGAGTTCTAATCATTCCAAATCCCTCTGTCAGATGATACCTTGCAAAAGTCAGAGACCACCCTTTCATTTATTTATTTCCAGTAACATTGGCTTTAAGCATAAGTTATTTTTCAGTGATAGGAAAAAAAAATAATCGGAAAACATGTTTGACAGAAAATTACACAAAAGCCTCAACAACTAAAAATAAGATTTAAAAAAAAAAATCAGTATGTATTTTAAAGTATTTAATGTCCATCCTTATTACAGCTTCCATTCTTTTCAGAAGACTTGCCTTCATCTTAATAAAAAAAATCTGCGGTAATATTTTCAGATTTTCTGCTTTTTACTATCCAAGAAATTCTCAATTATAAATGTATTCATTACTCATCTGTTTATAAAACCTCATTCCACATCTCAGATGTCCAGTTCTGGTGTTCTAGTGCAAATTTTCTACAACCATCCATTAAGCAAACTGTTTAAAAGAATAATTCCAGCCTTTGACATATGAATCTGCCAAAACAAAGTAATTCAGTAACACTAACTGGTGCATGTCATAAAATTCCAGCAATGCCTAAATAACACGGTATTGCAAAAATAACCAGTTTCTACAGAAGAGATCTAATATTTTCTTTCCTGTGTCACAAGTATTTTGCCTAAAACCACAATGACACACCGTGTGAGCGTAAAGGCGCTGTTTACTCCCAGCCGCAAAATCTAGAAATTTCATCACCTTTTTGTGCAGAGCTGAATACACAACTTCTCAAGAGCACAGATGCTGAGCGGCTATTAAAAAGGAAGCAGGCCTCTTGAGCTATCTGTGTCTAGGCGGCACGGCTAGACAACAGATATTTTGGCAAATAAATCACGACTGCTTCCTGTCCCAGCAGCCCCATTACATCAGTAAACTCGGTGATGAGTTATGACGTGCTGTCCCTGGCTCCTCCATTACAGGCCTCTGCTGGGTGAGGAACCTTTGAGGGCCAGCGCTTGTTCCATCTGCTGAAGACATCAGGATGGGACACTAGGCTTTATGAGGGTCTCCATTTGGTGCGTTGAGGGAACATTTTAGAAGTTATATGAGATTCTCTGAATTAGAACTAAGAGAGAGAAAGAGGCACCTGTTGAGCGTCTACGAAGAAGAAAAAGGAAAGTTCCATTACGCTGAGTCAAAGGTCTAGAGCCAGCTGGAGGCCAAACGCACAACATGTGATAGTCCTAAAATTCTCCTAAAAAGGGATCTGAAATTGTCTGTCTAGAGAGTTTTTGCTGCAAACTTCTGGGGAGCCTCTGAATGCAGAAGTGAACAGTATCAGCGTGTGAAACTGAAACGCTACATCTGTCCATTCTGATTTAATAAGTGGTCAACATTACACCACCGAGGACTGAAAAGTCATAGCAACATTTTCAGAAGTGGGTGTGAATGGACAGGGAGGAGAAATATGTGGGACTATGTTCACTGTGTGTGTTTACAAATCAAAATATACTTCAACTAAACACGCCGTTCATTCAGTTAAAGGTTTTGCTGCAGATGTGGTGTGTTAGCAGCTATGCGGGAATGAATTCAGTCCACTCTGACCGTAAGTCATGGTGATCTGGCTAGCTTTAGTTCTATGTAACTTAAGCTTAAAGGAAAAAGTCAAATTTACAGAATATTTCCCATTAACCCACAGAGTTGATCAGCCAAGACATTTGATGTCCAAAGTTTGCTTCTTTAGTTTAGTTTTAGAGCTACAAAACCAAGAGAAGTCTTGGTCATAAAAAAGTTTGGGTATTGACCAGCTGGGTGGTCGACACATCAGCTTCAGTAGCCTAAAAATGAATCTATATGTAGTTAAAGTCAGTGTTAACTGGAAATTCTGACACATTTTTGAGGTTTTTGTGAGCGAAAAAAAGATATCAGGGAGTGTCTCCGAGCTAGCTGAGCATTTTTCCTCAACGAGGCAGGGGTGGTGGGCAGATGAAACATTCTATATTCTTTAATATTATTTTTCCTACCAGCTGGTGCAAAGTGATGTAATTAAAAGTCAGAAGACGTTTTTCGAGGAGGGGCAAAAGTCATTATATTCTGATGGAAGATTACCAGAAAAAGGCAAAAAAAAGATCAAGAAAGATATATATATATCTGAATTTAAAGCATTGGGATCTTTGGAATTGATTTACTAAACAAATAAGAAACAAATGTCTGAACAAATAATGAATATGCTTGAGTTATGATAAAATCATCAGCAATACTGAAGAAACATTGTAGACTACAATAATAACAGAGGAGGAAACTGGGTCTCCGATGTTCCAAAGCCTCAAATGCCACAAAAGCAGTTGTGCTGTCGCACACTGGCTGTATGCAACGCATTCGCCTATTGCCTTATTAATGGATCGGGTATTTCCTAGCTGTGTGCTTCACAACAGCTTCATCAGCAAAAAAGCACTTTAGACTTTCACATTTTTATTGCTGTAATGTGGGCTAACTTTACAATGTTCTGATTTTCAGATGATTTTGAGATTAAGGTGATAGTTAAGATGTAAACAGTGACCAGTTTACCCACTATTAAATAAACTGTAGAGAGAGCCTCAGGTTATATTAATCCAGCGTGAATCGTCATGTCAGCAAAATGTTCCGCTATATTGTGTTGAAAATTTAGTTTTCACTGTTTTTGAGTATGGAGGCACCCAGTTAAGCATTCTCTATAAACCAAATCAAGCAGATATGTACTGTACTACATTTAACTCTGAACATTAAACATGTAAAATAGCAGATATGTGTGATTTTTCTCCTACGCTAATGGCACACTGCATTAAGGAAGATGACTAGAGCAAACAAAACTACAATTAAACTTAATGTTTGGACATGTTCTCTCCCCGCGAGCAGCCAAACGTGTTGCATATGGAACTTTTTTTGGTGTAAAATTGTGTAGCCACTCCATCTCTGACACTAAACATGGCTGATCAACTATATTTGAGGAAAACTTTACATTGTAATTTTCTGTGAACTATTTCCTTAATGTCTTGTTATGCATGAATGGCCTCACCTCTTACCACATTTATATTATGTTAAATTGTTATATTAATATATTGCTATAGTAATGCATTGTTATAGATTCCCTAGGTACCATTTGCACTGAATGCTAGGAACTCACAAAGTGGGCCATTTATCAACAGCATATTTGCACTGCACCACTGCTGAAAAAGAGCATGACCAAGACAATGGCCCATATCCTCAGACCACAAGTCTTGGAGGGGTCATCAGCAGGTCAACTTTGAGTCATCCTGGGTCATAAAGAGTTACCACTCAACATGAGAGAGGGATCTGCAAGGAGAGAAACGTTATGCATGAAGGGTGTCACAGATGTGCTTGGATCACATCTGTTAACTATCTTGAGGTCAGAACTGAAGTTCAGCAATAAACCAATAAATATCACTATCACAGTCTGAAATGCATTCTTGTGACCTCTGTGGACCACACCTAATGGGTGGTGTTTACTTAGCAGTGTCATAAACACCATCCTTACCACTCAAGGGGACAAACAAGGCAGAAGCAGACAGGCCTAAAATTAAAACCAAAATGAAAGACTCTTTGCATAACATTCCCACCCCCACAACATTTACAAATATAACAGTTTACCAACAAATGCTTGTTATTCCAACTATTGTATGCATTTCTTTTTTTTTTTGCTGTTAATTTTATCTTTTAATGTTTCAGTAGCCTAACAATGAATATATATGTAGTAACTGGAAATCCTGGTACATTGTTCTTCCATACTTGATGGTTTTTGGAGTGAAAAAAGGTGTCAGGGAGTGTCTCCGAGCTAGCTGAGCACTTTTTCCCAGAGATAGGTGGGGGTGGTGGGCAGAT